AACACGGGTAGGAGGATATGATAACTTTTCTTAGAATCACTTCATATAGATGTACCTCCTCCTCAGTGCTTATTTCCTCTGCCCATTATGTACATTTTTCTAACACAACAGTATTAGGAGTTGAGTAAGGAGTAGCCTTGTTCAGTTCTCAATGATTATACCTTTTCCATACCATGAATTAATTTGTCACTCCCCTTGAAACCTCTCTCTCATTTAATAACAAGGGAATAGTGGCAAGATAGTTGTGACCTGCTAACCCTTGTTTTTGTTTCCACTTGGTCATGCTGACCCCTGTACTGGATTGGGTCGAAGACGTAATCCTATCTAGGGCCACAGTGAGGCCAACTTGCCTTAGTATAAGCAAGTAGAACAGGTTAGTAGTCAAGTCCAGACCCTGCTTCAGGGCAAGACAAAAACCAGTTCAAGCACACAAGTCTGTGCTCAGGCCGCACGGGCAGTTAGTGCACCTTGGGCCTAGGTCAAGGTGAGGTGGTACCAGGTCAGATACTTGGGCCTATGCTCAGGCCAAATAACAAGTCAGTTGAGTAATAGTTAAGATTCTCAGGCCCTTCAGGGTGGGGCAGCAAACCGTTTGGGATGCTCAGGCTTAGGGTAAGGCTCAGCAACTGTTGGGTTTCCAAAAATAGGGGAAGACTGCTGCCCACAGTTTGGGATGGTGGGAAGAGGAGGAACAGGCCCACCTGCTCCACTGCACCCCAGCCCAGGGCCCTGTCAGTGTCCCTGTCAGTGAGGATCTGACCACAACCCACTGACTCAGTTTACTTCCATCTTCCCAATTCCCCCTTGGTACCAGCTCCTTCAGGTCTTGAGGAAGTGAAGGCTTTGGCAGGGTTTCCATCAGCTCTGGGTCTGGGATCATCATTGTTCCTGGCCAGTATTCCTCTTCCTGGAGGGGCATGCCAACTTCCCATCTTGGGAGCTTAGGAAAAGTGTCTGAGTCCATCAGCAGCTGGGCCCCAACCTCTTAGCTCCAGCCTTCATACTTCTGGTCCCCACTCTTTTGCTTCCTGGGAGTGGGACTGGATTACTCTGGTCATGCCCACCAGGGTGTCTTAGGGAGCTCTTCCCCTTCCGTGTCAGAGGGAGGCCAACCTGCCTCACTACAACTCTATTATAATAATAATCATTGCAGTGATATCTACCAATCATGTATTTGTTAGAAAAATATCATTACATGATATTTAAATATTAATATAACACTTTATTTCATCTGGTTATTTATATAAACCATCCTATTTGAATCACTATGTACTAGGGATTCATACAGGTATGAACATTTCAGTCATATAGACTTGAAAACACACATTGTTTTTATTCCAATCATAATTAGAAAAGAGAGCAGTATAGGACCATTACTTACCTTTGCAGAGCTAGCATTTATAAAATGCAGCAATTGTTTTCCTCAGACAAATACATTTAAAATCTTTGAGATCTTTTCCATAGCTACCTGTTTACTTTGCTAGTTTTTTAAAGAGTTGAACCAGCTGCATCTAGATTTCTGAAAAAACTATTGCTATGAGCTAAGAAGCATTAGATGCTGCCCTTTGTAGGATAACAAAGTATACCTTCAGGTAAAGAATTTGGACGATTTGGACTCATAAATTGTTTTTAATCTAAACCCTCCAGTGCACATAAAACAATATCTTTTTTTCATTTTCAGTTACTATTCAGACAGGTATATGGTTCTAGGGCTTGTAAAAGAAGCTTAGTATATGGCACACTTGCTTGATATGAAGATGGACAGTAACTGAGCCCGACAAGTGAGTGTGTGTGTGTGTGTGTGTGTATAAATATGTGCATGTAAAGATATTTACTTGTCTTTGGGGGTTTTTTCTCTTGGGTGAAAATCTGGTAAAGTCACAATGTGAAATATGATGGATAAACTTGAGTCAAGGCAAAAATAGTACTTAAGTATTTGGCAAATGCCAAATACTTCAGAGCACCTTGCTGTTTTACATCAGCTCTCTTTGCTTATTAATGGAAAAGTATAACTAGACATCATGATAAGCACCTCTTTCACTTCCACCTTTTTATGGATAGTCTCCCCATAGCTAATGGATGAGTTGGGCTTGATCAGGCTCTACTGAAAGATTTGGGCTTCCAGTATATTTGGGTCCCATAGCTGCATTCCTTGTGCTCCTGAGACTCCCCTGAAACTAAATGGGCGACACAGGCGAACTAGATCAGACTTCTACACTTCAGATATTGCAGTAGTATACAGCCTTCACTGAGCTCCACTTTCCACAAACACTAAATTCATTGGTACTTTTAAAAAAAGTGAGGTACTTCAGCTTCTTTTCAAAATAGAAACAATAGGGCACAGTGTAGCAACTTCTAAGTCTTTTATCTTTCTACAGATTCAGCCACAGTATTGATTCTTTATTGACCTAAACTGTCCTAAGCATGGCTGTGGTTTTTTCTTATATAGTCTATGGGAGAGTTAAAGCAGCTACTACTTTAATATTGATTTTTCTGAAAAAGGTGCAGGAAAGGGGGCAATTTGTGTCTGCAGTTGCTCTTCACTATAAAAGATACCATTGTTAGGAGCTTATAGCATTATATCAAGGGTCTTAATCTGTAGCAATCTTTTTTTACAACTTAGAAATAGGCTTGGGCAAATGTGTTATTGGTGTTAATGATATTTTGAAGTGAGGAAAATTTGTCAGCCTTTCTAAGTGAAATGCTCAGCTTAACCATTTGAGAGCTTGACAGGTTTGCTACATTTGTTTGCAGAAAGGATGGCCTTAGTTCCTTTGGAAAATAATGTCCATTTGAATAAACAGCAATGGTAATAGCTGAATAAATCTTTAACAAATTGCAATGACCTGTATTACCACAGGCTTAACTAAGCAAGAAGTTTTGACAAGAAGGGCATTATCATCTAATTAGACTTTCTTTAGAAAGTGGGGGAAAAGCCAATCTCTGATCTACCTAAATATAGCAATGGAATGGCAGGACAAAAATGCAGTGCATTTAAAATAGCACCTGGATCCCTGCTTCCCTTCTATATGCTGTTTCAATTGTAATATGGAAGACATCTGGGAAATATAATGAGCGCGCTATAGTTTTTTCCTCTGAGCAGATCTAGCTAAATAGAGAAGATAATTCTATGCCAGCTATTTTACAGCATTCCTAAAGATTCTTTTAATGATTAGTCAATATCAATGTTATATATTATCTGTGTGTTGGATAAGTGCTCCAGATAAACGTCTATATTTTCATTTCCAAACAGGTGTCAAGATATAACTGATATGAAAATTGTTCTTGTGGACACCTGGTTTGCTAAAACACTTAATCTGACAAAACACCTCTGGTTCAGGTTAGTGATGTGTAGCTCATGTGCTCTGATCTTATTATGATCAACTGTGTTGAATTATAAAGAGCTGTACCCATTTTCAATACATACAAACCAGCATAAAACTAGGAACCCTACATATGATAATCACATAGGGTACGTCTACTGAAATTGCTAATGAAGCAGGGATTTAAATATCGTGTGCTTCATTAGCATGATCTCACCGGTGTGTTACTCCACTCAACAGTTGTTTCGAAAGTGAAAAGTGTGCACCAGGATGCATTCGTTCGAACCAAACCCCTTGGTTTGAACTAACGTTACTCCTAATTTTTTGGTTTGGTTTGAACTAACACGTACCAGCGCGCACTTTCATTTTCGAAACAGCTGCTCAGCAGCGTAACGCGCCGACGAGCTCATGCTAATGAATTGCAGGATATTTAAATCCCCACTTCATTAGTAATTTCCGTTGCCTACATTTGCATCCCTAGTTTGAACTAGGGAGCAAGTGTAGATGTACCCATATATACATGCTATAGCTAGTGAACAATGGATTTTTTTTTTAATTTGGTATCTACTACTTTTCCTCCACTGGGTGCTTGTAAACAGAACATATCACTGTTCTTTGATTTTCATAATCTACTTGAATATCTTAAGTAATCTGGCAAATAAGTTTGATTGGTTTAAAACCTCTATAGCTGTGTTTTATTTCATAGAGGAAAAGTCTTTGGATCATAATTATCTGACAGAATTTACAAAGATTCATTACTCTTGCTCTTTGTGGATGAACTATTAGATTTGGAAATACATTCTCCACAATTCAAGTGGTGTGAGTGTATGTGAGACACAGAGAGAGAGAGAGAGAGAGAGAGAGATTCAAATAGCGCGTGTGAATTAATACATATATGTATATGTTGTGTATAGATAATGTTACAGACAAATGTTTAAATAATGTTATTAAGGATGCAAATTCAAGCATTCAAAGATAGGAAATGCCACAGTCAAGGTTGTCTGCCCAATAAAGTTGCCAGCCCTACAGGATTGTCCCGGAGTCTCCAAGAATTAAAGATTAATCTTTAATTAAATATTATGTCATATGATGAAACCTCCAGGAATACATCCAACCAAACTTGGCAACCCTACTGCCCAACCTTAATTCCATCCACTTAGGCACATACGTTATGATACAGTTTTTAATTACATTATCACATATAATTATTTTTCCACAGGACCTCTGCCTCATTCAGTGCACCAGATGGACCTGCTCAGGGGAGGAATCAGGGATATGTGGTAAAGGAAGCTATTGTCTGTAGGACTGCTGCCTCATAATTATTTTGCATGTGGTTTCCTAAGGCTTAAAAAAACCTGAAAACAAAATAGTAATTCTATTGTATGGTAATATACTGACATCTACCTGTTTCATCAGCAGGGCTGGAACCTTTAGACACTGTGCAGACCTCTGCAATTTCATCTTATAAAGTAGCTGACAGCAATAGTGGGTTGTTACTACTACCATAGACTACTAGCCTATGTCCACACAGCAGCATTATTTCAGAATAACTGACATTATTCCAAAATAACATTCCATGTCTACACTACAAGAAGTTATTTCAACATAATGTAAAAATAATGTTGAGCTGAAGGACTTCTTTTTCTGACTCCTGTTACCCTCATTTTATTATGCGTAAGGGAAGTTGGAGGAAGAGTGCTCTAACTCGTACTTCCTGCTACGTAGACAGTGCCAAAAGCCGAAATAAGCTATTTTTACTCAAGCGATGCAATTGACATAGCTCAAGTTGGGTGTGTCTAGACTACATGGGTTTTTTTGAAAAAAAGGACCTTTTTCCGAAAAAACTTCACCTGCCTCTAGACTGCTGCCACGTTCTTTTGAAATTAAATAGAAAGAATGCAGCAGTATTTTTGACTGCAGTAAACCTCATTTTACGAGGAAGAATGCCTTTTTCCAAAAGTGCTCTTTCGAAAAAAGGCATTCTTGAATGAAAACAGGGCTTTTTCGAAAGAGAGCATCCAGACTACCTGGGTGCTCTCTTTCGAAAAAGCGGATCACTTTGTTGAAAGAAGTGGTTGTAGTCTAGACGCTCTCTTTTGAAAGAGGCTTGTAGTCTAGACATAGCCGTTGTGTAGCTTATTTTGGCTTTAGCCCTTCTGTGTAGACATGCCCCTATAGAGGGGGAAGAGAACCACACTTTCCCAGTGGGTTTCACAGATATTTGCTGGCATCTGCGTAAAGGTGAGACTAATGAATTTTGGTTTGCACTCCAGACTCTGAAAGGGAGCATGTTTAGTAGGTACAGCTTAACCCTTTCTGCTCTGTCCTTCCAACCTGTCCCTGTCCATTCTCTTCCTTTCTCTGGCTTTGTGTTTTAGTCTTGTTCTCCTTATCCACTGAGTCCAAATCTCAATTAATCAGGATTCTCCTCCCGGTCTCCTTGCTCAGCCAATCCTGTCTATTCTTCCAGGCTCACCTTCCCAGTTTCCCCTCCTCCCCCTCATAGTTTCTTCCCTACCTTCCGTCACCCACCCATTCCTAGTTTCAGTCTCCTTGTTCAGCCAGTGCCAGTTTTCTCCTTGCTCCTCGTGTGATCTATCTCATAATGGTGTGGTGTAAAGTGAGATGGTAGAATGTTTTTTTGGAATGGGTTTGGGAAACCACAATACTCACAAGTGGCATTGTGTGTGTGTGTTTTCCCTATTCTCTTCATTCTCAACTATGGGTGAGCTATTTTTGATGATGTTAAGACAAGAATAAGAGTTGAAATATTTCAGCTCAGAAGATGAATGTTTGATTTAAGTTATAAATAAAAAGGGCCCTTGAAATGAAGACTTTCAGGCAAACTTAATTATAGCTATTGCTTCACACTCCAGCTATTAGGCAACCCTGCATGTAGCATGTGAAATGGTGCTGTTTTAATGGCCCTTTATGTTTATTTTCTCATTTTGTACATAGTTCTGTATAAGCAAAAAACTTGTCAACATGTGCAAATGTTATAATTTCAGTTCTTTTTCACTTACCCAATGTATAGGATGAGGATACCGAAAACGAAAAGAAGAGCACTCAAGTTAAAAATGGAAACATCCAGAAGAAGCAAAAGCATTTTAGGATATAGGCCAGGAACCCATCTGAACAACAAGGCAAGTGTTCAGAGCACAAAAATATCCCCCCTCAACTTAGGAATATATAGATAAAACATAGACACAGGGAGAAAGATTCATTTACAGAGCCCAGCATGAAAGTGAAATGTATATCCTTAGATGGGGATATCCATGGATATTAATCGGTATCCATGGAGCTGTAGGGTGCTACCAGGAACTGCAGAGGTGAAAGCAGCAGACTGTTGGGCCTTCTCTCCCAGGAGCTAGCACTTTGTACCGCCAGCTCCTCTAACATGGCAGTACCTCCATTGAGGTGGCAGGAGGCTCATTTGCAGCTGTCCCTGATGGCACTAGTGCAGTGGGAAGGGCAGGGATAGTACTGCTCTGCTGGAGGAGCTGCTGGTGCAGAGCACTGGCTCCTGGAAGTAGCAGCATAACAGACTGCTGCTTTCACTGCTGTGGTTCCTGGTATAACCCTGCAGCTCCATGAATACCAATTTATAACCATGGATATAAATTTATATCCATGGATATCCTCATCTACAGATAATTTTGTATCCATGTGGGGCTCTATTATTTTTTATGCTGCAGAACTTAGAAAACCACTTATTCTATTCTGTTCAGCATTGTTGGTATAAATCCACTACTGTTAATGCTGCTACATGAATCAATTTGTAAAACAAACCACTCTGCATGCCAGTCAGGACCATTTTCTCACTGTAGGTGTATTGATCTACAAGACTGGCACATAGACCAATTCGTTTCAGTATCGGCCACTGCATATTGTGCGTGTAGGTAAAAATAGGCTGAGGTCTTCTAAGCAGTTATAGGGATTTAGGCACATACCTTCTGTTCATTTTAATGTAAGATTTTTCTAAACCATCTAGAATGCTTTAAGAACCTCAGGCTTTGTGAGGGTTCTGGAGTCTGATAACTGCATTGTATGTGAACAACATGCTTCATAAATGTTATTTCAGCTTCAAGTGGCTAAATTAATCCTGCAGTGGTTAAGTATTTTTTTCTAAAATTATTTCTATTTTTGAAAAATGAGTAGTGTTGTTAATGAATGCAGTGGTTGGAAAAGGTGTCAAATAGACAGCCCAGAAAATAGAAGACAGTAATTTATCCACAGAGTAGATAAAACTCAGGTTTCAGTAAGTCAATAATCTCCATTCTGTTTTCTACTGAGTAGATGTTGCTCATGTACTAGCCAGAAATAGGGGAATTTCTTCTGGAAATTTTTAACAAAAATGAAGAAAATCAAAGTTTCCATAGAAGAGTATGATTTTTTTTTGGTGTGAAAATTCAAAATATTTCAAAAACAGATATATTTACATTCAGGAATGCTGATATGGTGTCTTATGGGAGTTGTAATCATGTGCCTTATGCTTCCATTCTCCTCCATAGGCCAGGCTCAGTGGTCAGATTTCATCTTCTGTGATGCACATGATTCTCCTGAGAGTGCAGGGAGACAGTTGCATTATAGCAGTCACTGGCCTTGGTGCACCATAAATGTTGCAGTTTAACTGGGTAGCCTGGCCTATAAAGGAGAATGGGGATCTGAGGAAACTGAACTGCAGCTCCCAGAAGTCACTTTGTCAGAACATTTGAACCTTAATATTTTGTTTTTCAGGCATTTAATTTTTAGACCAAAAAGTTGATTTTTTTCAGCAGAAAGAAGAAACATTTCATGAAAAAAAAACATGTTCAGATAAAATTCCAATTCTCCATCAAAAATGCTTTTGAAAGAAAAATTTCAACCCATCCTAGCATTCATTCACATCACCGGTGCTAAGCCACCATAAAAAGGCAGCAATTTTTAGTCATCATCAGCCTTGCAGGCTTTGAGAATGACATACAGGCAGTGAAATATATTACCAGTTCCCCAATCAGCCCAATCATCTTTAAGAAAGTGTGGTAATTAATTAGATGTTTGATTGTACTCATGCAGCTGAGAATTCCGATGTTCTTTGGAGATCAAGGTGTATTTTTACTTTTACACCCAATTTTTACTATTCTCCATAGGTAAGGAATTGTGATTCCATTCTTACTAATTATTATTTTTCTAAACAAAAAGTGATTTTTGATTACAACATTTAATATATACTAGGATGCCAAAAGTTAAGAATGTGCAGAAAGGTGTGATGTCTACAAATAGAGCCAACCTTCAATGGGTTAGTGACTAAAATGGCCAAGGTAAACAAGACATTGTTGGGGTTAACTTAGCTCCCCCCTCATATGTGTGTATTTATATATGTCAGCAGAACTAAGTTAACCTTAACTGTGTCATGTTTAACTTGGCCATTTTAACATGTTTAAATGGCTAAGTCTTTTTTTAACTTGGCCCTATTTGTAGTTGTTACACCTTTCAATTCCTGGCGTTTCTTGTCTGTCTTGTTTTTAAATACATATTTGAATAGTTTTGTTCATATTTAATTTCTTTGATTTTTACTGTAGCAAATATTACAGAAAATATTTCTTAACACTACAAAGACACATTCTAATGAGACTATTTCTTAACTTCTTAATACCAATACCTTACACTTAAGATTGTTTCATTAAAATAAAGACACTGCCTTTTATACAAGTTTAAATTTTACTGCAGATATGCAAATGAGTTGCAATTTTCAGACAAAAAATGGGTTAAGCTGTTGTGTTAAGCTTTTTTCCCAATTTTCTTTTCATTATTTAGTTTGTTAAAAAGGGGGGTTAAAATCAGCAATTTCTGACTGCAAACCTCTGAAATTTTGAGAAGATAATGTGTGTCTACATATTGAAGTTGTAGTATTACAAATGTGCATTAGCTAGCATTTGGTTTTGTGACAGTTATATACATTCATGTGTCCATGACTTGTAAGTGCTATCATTTCTGGTTAATGGAGGGTTGTTACAAGTATTGTAGTTTTACTAGCTTTATGTGCAATGTCATCTGTATAATTTGTGAGACATGGAATCTTTGTGGACCTGATACAGTTTCCATAAAATTCAGTGGAAAGACCCCCATTGACTTAATTGGATCAAGCCTTTAATGAAGAGAGTGGGAATTATGTTTACTATGACATATGTCTAGTCAGGGATTATGGTGTGGCGATAGTTCAGTTGCAAACTTAAGTACAAGAATGAGTTTCCATAATAAAACTGATTTCTGCTCCCATGCTAAGCTCTACAGAAGTGTACTGGACTCATAGTCGGTAGGTTTTATTATCCTATATGTGATATGGGATTTGTATTCTCATACCAATTCCCACCAACGGTGCATGTTCCAAAATCCACTACAGCTGTCACTAATTGATGACTTTTACTGGCAATCTCTGATGGAGTCACACTATCCATTTGGACACATGTTTTGCAAATCTCCAAACATCCTAGTACTGTACAGTAAAAGTAATGTTATCATGGTGCTCACAAAATGTCATATACAGGCAGTCCCCGGGTTACATGGATCCGACTTACATCGGATCCCTACTTACAAATGGGGTTAGGCAACCCCATACTAGCTGCTTCCCCCCAGCAGACCAGGGAGACGCGAAGCTAGCGCCCCCCCCCCCCCCACCCAGCAGACCAGGGAGATGTGGAGCAGCTTTTCTCAGCAGACACCTCAGCTTGAGAATAAAGGACTGAGGGAAGTGAAGTGTGGGAGAATAAAACTGAGCTCTGGAGAAATGTTTGGCTAGTGTTTCCCCTACAATATGTACCAATTCCGACTTACATACAAATTCAACTTAAGAACAAACCTACAGTCCCTATCTTGTACGTAACCCGGGGACTGCCTGTATCCAGTGATTTTCATCATCTCTCCTTCCCTACAACATCCTAAGACCAGACAATGTCACTGCAGTGAGGGAAACTGCCTCTACTTATACCACCTCTCAGAGTATGTTCCCTTTCCAGTGCAGTGTATGTTGGGTATTTTCCTCTTCAGGCTGGTGACTGAAATAGGCAGAGTCTAACAAGACTATTGACTATGAAGTGTGTTGTTTGTCATTTTTTTCTGTCTTGGACCTCAACTATAACCAGTTTGCACACTGTGAATTTCTATTTATTCTTTTAATTGGCATTTTTAATCTTCTCCACTCCAGGTTTTGGCAATTTCTGGGATTTTGAAGTACTTTTGCCACAGCTCAGTAAGGGTACACAACAGCATGATTTCGGAATAACTGTTGTTATTTTGAAATAACAAAGACACGTCTACACAGAAAGCCATTATTTCAAAATAATGTTGAGATGCAGGACTGTTTACCCCGACTCCTATAACCTTCATTTCATGAAGAGTAAGGAAAGGTAAAGGAAGAGTGTTCTTCCTTCGACTTCCTGCTATGTAGACAGTGCCAAAAAGCAAATAAAGCTATTTTGACTTCAGCTACGCAGTTGATGTAGCTGAAGTTGCATATCTTAATTCGACTTTTGACCTGCTATATAGATGTACCATAACACATTCTTCTTTATTTTCTGGTGATATAATGTGCTATTCAATTATTTCCCCTCTCCCCTCCCTTTTATCATTGGCTGTTATATTTTCTATGTGGTTGTGGGCGATCCCTTTAAATACAGCATTGTTTGCCTGAGTCAGTGGACTTCTCATAATACAGTTCTTTTGATTTAATTTTTCTTTCACCTGTCCTTTTGATTTAATTTTTTCCAAGGTTTCCCTTACTGGTTTCATTTGTTCTGGTTTCCTAATGATCTATTGCTAAAGCTTTCTTTCCTAGTTGTGATAGCTGCCTGAATCTAAACAGAAACCAACTGTATACTCATGGTTGCTTTTCATACCCTCTGTGATGCTGTTTGTAGATATCCCCTGTATAGTCAACCTATTAATTTCTTTCTTGTCCTCATATGGTTCTGAATGTCCATTGGGAGGTTCCAATCCAATTTTTTACATGTGTGTGTAGTTCTTTCATCAGATATAATGCACTTTTGTTCACTAAGCCGTTTGCAATAGAAATCATGACATAGATAAGTGTAGGAGCATTAGAACTTTGTAAGCAGCAGGCAAATTTTCTCCAACCTACCTATTTTGTTGGCAACACGGAAAATGCCAGAATTCTGAGTATAGCACAACAGCTACTGCCTTTTCTTTTTGATACATGTTTGATAATAAGAATGTCCAAGTAGGAAGGTTCATCATTTTTC